TATAAATACATATATATATATATATATATATATATATATATATATATATATATATATAACAAATTATGTATATTTATATTGTTGGGTTTAATAATTCTGACTTTAACTGTATGTTATTTTTTGTTGGAATTTTATAGTCTCATGAATGTGCAGCCATGATTAAGAATAGGGTTAGATATTTTGTTAAATGATATGTAACATTTAGTGTTTTTACACTTCTCTGTCACATACACTTGGCATTACCAATTCAGCAATGTAACGCATTACAAGTAATGCGAGTTACGTAATAATGTTAGTTTTAGAGAACTAGTAAAGTAACAATTACTTGAAAAAATTAATAATATTTAATCTACTTTTAAAAAAAAAATCTTATGTAGGTTACTTTATAGTTTAATTAAGCTTTTAAAAAATAAAATGCTGAATTAAAATTAAAGTAGTCTATGAATCATGCAGTCAATGAGAATGTGTTTTATATTTTGAACGCATTGAAGAAAAGGAAAAGGAAATTGTCTCAATGGACAATGTTTTTAGCAACAACAACAACAACAACAACAACAACAACAACAACAACAACAACAACAAACTAATAAATAAACAATTAAAAATGAAATAAATAATAAATAAATTGCACTTCTCTTTAAATGCTTGAAGATACAGAACAACACCGAAGTGAGTAAATGATGAGTCAATTTACATTTTTGAGTGAAATATCCTTTTAAAAACAGACAGCTAAATATACATTTGCAGTTCTGGATGCTGATTGGTCTGTTCAGCATTCAAGCGATGCAAAAATCCAGGAGCCTTTCACTTGTTTGTATCACTCAGCTTGTACGTGCTTGTTTAATAAAAGGCTTGTCAGTCTGTGTAGTAGTGGTGGCGGTGTGGGGAGATTTCAGTCATTCTTTCTGCAGGTTACATCGATTCACCAATTTGTGACGACAAGTGACTGTCCTTGTGAGTGAGTGAGTGAGTCATTGAATCATTCATTTAGTCGGTTCATCTAATAGCACTGATGGATTCGGAAATGAACAAGACTGTCTTTGTGGTGGAAAATACAGTACAATGTTGTTTTTATGAGTGTAAATCTCTGGCTCGTAATAACCTGTTCATAACCTGTAATTGTGAGTACTGAGGGGATATTTATGTACTAAATGCTCCTCACTTTTGCAAATATTAGACTTAACACATAATACAAGTGTGAATGGCATTACTTTGTCACGAAAAGGATTACAAAACCAATGACAAAACTGGACTACATAACCAATTATAAGTGTGTTTTTTAATTCTTATACATTACATTAAGCTGAATAATAAGCTTTCCATTGGATGATATTTGGCTAAGAAATAGCTATTTGA